AGAAGAGAAACCGTTGAAGAGGTATAGGATAGCATTCATTCTCGGTATACATGAGAAAAATGCAAAGAAAAGGTTGTTCGGATGAGTTCCTGTTTGTTGCTGTGTTGAATTTGTAGTATTGTTTTGCTTATCCGTCACTCATACATAGGAACACCTATTATTTATATCACTGCAGTGAATCACGAGCTGTTTTAACCATAATGAAGCTTCTCTCAGGGATTGGGTACAACGGAGGAAGGGGGAGGGAGGGGCGTTACAAGCAATACGCGCTTCTAAGGTTGCGTTCATGTCGCCGATTGTATAGCCGCGACTTGATGTCCTCGCCGCGCACGTCCAATCGGCTGCGTATAGACCGCTTGGGGGGCAGTCCACCTCGCCAAAACGGAGTATTGTACAACTCAGCCAATCCTAGCAGGCCAACCAAAACAACTGCTAGTATTTTTTGCAGGTCTTCGTTGGTTCAACAAGGAATTTTGCTCGAGCTATCGCGTTTCACGGGAAAGATCTCGGTGTTGCCGTGACCGTTGTTCTACCACGCTACAGTTCATTGACGACAATTGCTACATGCGAACACTATGGAGCAAATGTTGTGATACAGGTAGAGTAGCGGGCAAAAACATATGCAGCTTTGTTTTGCGGCTACAACTCTAGTCCACTTCGAATGACCTCGCTAACGTTTGATATGTGGCAGGTAGCAGTTATTTTCTGGAAATACATGCTTTTAGACTTAGGATAGGAGCAGGCTTGAAAATCGCAACGATCCTTTTGTTGAAATTTTTCGAAGAACTGTTCCTCGTGAATTTAAATTGTTGAACCTTACCACTGAACAGGACAGTAACAAGTGCAAAATGGACTATGTACATTAACACCGACGACAGTGAGACGCTGTTGCGTGTCTCACTTTGTTCACCGCTCCGGACATTGAGACGCGGTTACGCATCTCACCCTTGCCTTCTATTCTTTTAGAGCATGCGCGACGGTTCCTGAGTTGCTTTTATTCCTACCGATCACACCTAACACAACTGCAGACGACACTTTATTGTATGGTCAGATATACTATACAGGGTGTCCCAAAATTATGGGCGCCTACACACAGCAATATATTTCAAGCTTCTAAACGGACGATGCTGACTGAATTTACACATAAGGTAAATTGCATCATCCCCAACAATGTGGAACAACTAGATATCGAAATACTCTCCAACGCGACTAATGCAAGCTCGAAGTCGCTTCTTAGGCTTCGCGCACGTTGCACGCAGGAATTCCTCGTCTATTTCTTCTCAGGCTTCCTTCAATGTTCCTTCCAGTGACTCGAACTGTGACGAAGAACTTGACACACCTTACTTTCGCTCAACGACCACACTAAGAGGTGAGGTGGGCGCGAACCTGGTGAAAATGACGGCCGTTCCTCGGTGCCAGCAAAGTCGGGCAACTGAACTCGGCACCACACTTGGAGGAACTTGGCCATGTAGGCCTGAGCACTTTTCTGCTGGAAACAACTCGGGTTATTTCCAAGGTAGGACTCGTGCCGAGCCTTCATTACGTTCACCTCAAGTGTCCGGATTTGCTGATGAACTTACCGAAATCAAAGGAAAACTAACGGCCCCTTACCACTGGACGTGGTGTTCCTTTAAACCGAAATTGAGACCAAGTTCGGTGATTTGCAAACAATCTTTTAGCGTGGAGTAGCACTCCTGACATTTCTGCCCGGAATGCAATCTTTCTGGCTATTGCCAATCCGCTCTGCTATGGAAATTTTTTCCTCATAAGAAAGGGTGGTAGGGTGCGTGTCCTCACTGAGGCGGGTGAAGCAACCTTCTGCAATCTTTGACCCTCTGTTGCTTGTTGATATCGAAAATGAGCTGACACTCCTGCATATGGTAGGAACGGCTATGTAGTTCTTCATTGACTACCTTTCCCATCGATGACTTCGATTCCTCCAGCTCTCCGCCATTCTTCTGAAGGAGCGTCGTGGGTCGCGGTCAATTTGAGAATGGAACCTTTCAGACACCCTTCCGGCAGAACGGCCAGCCTTTCTACCTCTCTTAGGCCTATGCATAATGGACGCTGTTTCCTAGTATCGTAGGATAACCTTCCGTATAACCCTTGTGGAAACTACAAAATATTTGACATTGTCCTTCATTGGGGTATCCACCTCGTGCATGCGAATGATCGCAGGTCGCAGTGAAAGACCTCCCGCCCTCCTGAAGATAGTAGGGATTTCACACCTACAACAAACAGGTTACAAGAGGACCTTTGTGTGTAACTAATCATCAGCAAATGAAGGGAGAATAATCGAGTACTTTTGCCAAACGAACATTTTTGAATTCGCCCTATAACCTTTTGACACCACACACTGTAAGTCTTTAGGCAAAGTTTTTTAAGAGCTTCAAATCGCATCACCTCAGTCATTTCTCGTTTCTTTTCATCCCTCATGTGATGAAGAACTAAGTGCGGCGCAAGCAAAGATAAACCTATTCAGGTAGCAGAATATATATTTTTTGCACTGAAAGTTCGGTTCAATAACTGACAACTATATTGGACATCCTTGGAGCGCTATGACGTCATTTGGGGCGACACAAGCTAATTTGCAATGTTTAGCAACAACGGGGCACGGTATACCCGGCGCCCAGGTGGAAAAGTTTTCGAAGCAAACATAAACTGTGAGCCGTGAAATATTGCGTGGATTCAGTAGTGGCTGTTCAAAAATAAAACGGATCTTTTCTTCTCAGGATTCAGAGAGTGATAAAAACGGGTTTCAACGGGTAGACTTCCGCGCGTGTCGTTCGCGCCTACAACCGCCATGTGCGCCGCTATTGCCTGTGCTCACCCTATTCTTGCTATTTCACCATGTTGGTGGTGTGTTATTCATTACTGCCTCTTACTCAACGGCCACTGCCATCAGCTGCCTCCAGCTGAGTTGGAGAATGGCGGAAAGAGGACTGTGTTCTGACTTTTTTGCCACCTTCATCGATAAATTTTCATGCGATTTGTTGCAGAGATCGACAGATCATCTCTTCAGGCTTGCTGTTCCTTGCAGATTTATTTCGACACATTTCTTCTCCATGATTAAATACCCGTCCAGGTGTTCATTTGTTCCAGTCAAACGGTCACGTTTCGATGTGTCGCCCTAATCATGTAATAACGCCCTCGACAAACTTCGGAACATGGTCCATGACATGGCTCTCTATATACGAATGGTCGTCGAAGTTATAATCGATACAAAGTGCTAACTGCACAACTTCGGCAAGAGATGTAGAGACAATAGAAGGCTGAGGGAAGAAAAACCGGCTCTAAATCGAGAAGTGAGGAGTTGACCGCTGTAATGTCTCGCAATTCTACTTCTACCGACTTCAAGTCGTGTTCCTCAATGATCTCTTTCAGCTTAGTACGTATAGTGGAACCTCTATTGACTTCGATTTGAAACAATATATTGTAGTTTCTGGCGTCCCCAAATTAATTGGATTCGGTTCAACGCTGTAAAACATGATTTGTATTGCACTAATTCCTCACTGGATTTGTTGAGTATTGAGTGTGTGTCTGTTCCGTGTATGATTCCTTCTTATTCACGTTTCTAGTAAATATAAATTAATAACTCCGGGAAACGGTGTGCACCCGTAAACTTGGCGACCTCATGGGACGTCTGTCTTTAAACAGGATAACAGACCAAAAAATTACGCCTCTGCTGTACATGAGCAGTTTCACAATGGATGTTCCTTGTGAAAGGGCAAAGCGGTCGCACGTCCAGAACAGTATTATGCTAGCTAGCTACATAGTGCTTGGAAAGCTGCTGTATGAGATGGAAAGAACTCAATGAAGAAGGTGCTTATTTCATGAAAAATGGAAAATAATGCTTGAATTCGCAATGAATTTATGTATTGGCTCCTCCGGCTCTCTTGAGCTTTCGGCGTCTATAGGGTATCTTCAACAAAGAAGTATTGTACCTAATCAGCTACTGCTATGCAGCTATTTCATACGTCAGATTACAGACTTCGTACAGAAATTTGGAAATTTCGTGGAATCGTGTCCTCCTGGAGAGATTTTAGGGAAACGATTTTTCCTATCTTCAATCTTCCTCTCATCCGAGGTGGTATGTTACCTCACTGAAGATTGATACCTCCCAGGACCTGTCCAAATTTTAGTAGGATCCATTAAAGCCGACTGGAGTTGTAGCCTACCGTATATGTGCACAACTGTTAGGAAGTCCAGCCTAATATTTCGTTGTACGTGAAATAATCAGTTCAAAGCATGTACAGGGTGATTGCTATATCGCCAATCACTAGAATGCCTGCAAGTCCTACCCGCTCCCACTACGAGCTTATGGTTTTTTGTGTATTTGTGGTGACGAGAGGGATTACCAACATTTCTAGGGAAGTGTTCCAGGGATCATGTTCTCTTTGTACCTGAGCTTGTCGCTCTGATGCCTACTCTAAGAAGTGATTTCTGAAAACGAGTGCACAACTAAGCATCCATAACTTTATTACGCAGATGGCTTCCTTTGATACATGCAGCGATGCAATGAATCCTACGAAGTATTACTAAAACTTTATCCAAGGCAAAAACCGGGCTCACCATGTGGTATTACGGCAACTGGAACTGAGTATGGAGATGCAAAGTGGAGCGACAGAGGAGAAAAAACCAAAAGAAACCGTCGACAATGCCGAAAACGAAATCCCCGCTCCTACTGGCAGTGAAGGAGGCTGGTTTGGGAGGGATGCACGTCCAAATGTGTTTTCCGGATATGCCAGCCGTTCCATTGGTTG